CTAATTCTCTATCGCAGAAGAAGAAGGCGCACTACAAGGTTAATTAAAAGAGGTAAAAGGTGAAAAAACACATAGAAAACATGATGGAAATGTGGGTAAAAACAGCTGGATGAAAACCATTCTATTGGTTGTTAATTCTCACTTTTGAGGTAATTTCTTTCACGTACTTGCCACCCAGAGGTGCAGACTCGAAGAGGACGAGAGAAGTGTGACGGTGTCCTCAGCTTTACAGACGAGCGTTTCAGAGATGACGGTGCCTGGAGGTGGAGTGACAGAAATTGTGTTGCCCTTTGCGGTACTGAGGTTCTCTTCTCCAGAGGCAACAGTCCAGGTGTAGCTGCAGGAGGGGTAGCAGTCAGCAGAGCAGGTAAAGTTGGACGCAACCCCTGCAGTCATAAAGGCTGGACCGCTGATCTGTACGTTTGATGGTCCAGCTGAAAAGTTGGAAACACATTTGGTTGAAGGATATCGCTCCTGAGAAAATTCAATAGTTCAAATTCAGTTCTCTTATTATCACCTGTCACTTGCAGCGTCTTCTGGGCGGTGACTGACATTCCTGTAGCAGGATTAACTGCTGTGCAGGTCAGGTTTTGTGTCGGGTGTAGTTCCCCAACCTGCAAACTCAGCTCCGGACCCCAAGAGGTCACATTACCACAGGTCCAGGTGAACTTACAGGTCGGGTAGCAGCTGGCTGAGCACTGGAAAACATACAGTTTTCCCACTGTCACTATGTCGACCTCACTGATCACCACTGAAGACGGCCCATCTGTGGTTGGAGGTAGAACAAACAAGATAGGCCTCTCAATAAATGTCGTTCATTTACGTGATTTTTCTATTGCTGAAGTAGCTTCCTCAAGTTGTGGCCCAGGGTCGTCTTTCCCTGCTGTGGTGGCAACTCAAGAACATGCTGATGGACACCGATGATGAACGAATCCAACAAGCTGGAGAGGGGGGTCTTTAATTTTCTTTTATATCAAGAATGCACCTTTTGAGCCCTGGCAGTAGGGGAAGCATGGCCACTGAGCAGCAGGGCCTTGCTTAAGGTCACTTCCTTGTTAGCTTATGAAGAAGCAGAAAGTATTTCATATTCTCCTACCAGTATACTCACAGTTTACTTGCATCTTGTAGCTGACAGACTGGATGGGGAGCTCCCCCTCTGCCACCACACACTGGTATAAACCATCATCTGTCTGCAGGAGAGGACTGAAGCTCATCGTGGTGTTGTCAGGGG